GATGCTGGCCAGCTAGGAATGAACTAGCAGCCAGTACAGTACAGTCCTCTCTGGTCTAGCTAACATTTAGCCGTGTTACTTACTGATCCATTAGAAAGAAAGCTAGCTGGACATGGGTTTTGAAGCCTCTTTGGTCACGGAGCTCCCTCCATCTCTTGAACGCCTGACTGAGGTTTACTCTTGTTTTTCCTCTTCTTTTATCACTCTCCTTTTTGCTCTTCTTTGCCTCCTCACACAGAGGAGCTCCTTTTCTTTTTTTAGGCCGTTTTTCACTTGTCTCCAAACTTTGTCCGTCTGCCATTGTGCTCGTGACTCAACTATCTCATGCCCAACTCCTCATAAGGACCAGCTCCAGTCCCTGATTGGCTGACCAACCAGTTTTGCAATACATGACGCGTTTCCTGCCGTAAAGGAGATTTTTTCCACGAAATTTCCCCCCCAGTGGCAGAAGCTTATTGCAAAGATTGCAAAGTCACTAAGTAACCTATGTAAACACTGATAGTCTGATTTTACTGTGGACACTACCCTGTGCAACACACATTATTTTCATCATGATATATTTAGGAAAAAATACTGTCTGTTGCCTGTTTAACAACTACATTTTCATTTCTTGTTTCGTTCTATGTTATTGTCTGTAGTTATGTATGTTCCCCCGTCATGTCTGTTTATGTGTTCACCATGTCATGTCACTGTTTTTGTCATGTAATTTCACTAATAAATTTTTTAAAAAAAGAAAAAAGAAACAAACTGAGACATGAACTTTAAACTAAAGAACAAAGAGTTGCAGAGATGAGTCGGTTCATCAGTTTATTTCTGTTTCATTTTTACATGACATCATTAATTTATTTTGTGCCAAAGAATTTCAGATCAACAGACATGAAGACAGAAAACAGCTGTTTCTCTGAGACTTCAGGGACAGTTGGACAAACCTCTCGCTGAAATTTCCTACTGACATTGAACATACTACAGCTTCTATCTACAGGTGCTTCAGCCAATCAGGAGGCAGCCGTTATATATGTACTGTTATATATTCCTCAACATGTCCGTCTGTACATTCAGCGATGTGCTGACACATCTGGTGACGTCAGCAAATCATTCAGGATATGTTTAATGACCCTCCATGCTGTCATTTGTGCCTGACATGCAAACTGCAGGTCAAAGCTTTGTCTGTGGTGAGTTCACTGAGCGGCTCAGGAGGCGTTCAAGAGCGGCTCAGAAAAACAGAACTTTGTATGCACCAGTCAAACACATGCTCCGTCATCAGTTTATTAATCTTTTTAATATGTTTTTTTTCTTCTGCATCATATTTCATATATGTATGAGGTATCTAAAGTACTGTAGTGTAACAGAGTGTCAGGACACGTCAGGAAAAACATCTCGTGGGAAAAACTCAACTTTACAAGCAAGTAGTCAAATTATTGTAATCAACAAGCTATAAGGCCGCTCAAGAAAAAGTCATGATTTTATTAAAAATACATCTATAATTTTTTCCTCCAATTATGACTTTATTGAAATATTTCTACTTTGAGTAACATTACATTTTTTATTTATTTTTATTACAACTTTTTTCTCCCGACATTATTATTTTAATCTCAAAACATTATGACTTCTGCCCCCAATTTTACTTTATTGCCAACATATCTTTTCCTCAAATTATTATGACTTTATCTTTAATTATTGCTTTTTCTTAAATTATTTCAACTTTAACTGAAATTATCACAATTGTTTGTGTTTGAGCTTCTTCCGAGGTTTTCTGCGATGTGTTTTCTCGACAGTGACACCGACACTCTGTTTGTACTGAAACATTCTGTAGAAATAAATTTGTTGATGTCTCTCCTCCATAGAAACTTGTGAACGACTGTAACCATGGTAACCTCTTACCTGCCATCCCATGTGACATGAAGATAAAAGAAACAACAGGTAAGTGGATCAACATGACATCAGCATTTCAGAAACACTTACTGCGGCTCTTGAAACCGACTCTGGAATATTTCACTAAAGCTTGAAGCAAGTACACACAGGAGGCTTTTCTCCTTATCTCAGTGTCAGTCTGATTAAGGGGAAGTTTAAGGGTAAATCAGAGCTCAGAGTTTAAGGGGGAGTTTAAGGGTAAATCAGGGCTCAGAGTTTCAGACATGAATCCTCCCGAAATCTTCGTCACATGATGGTGAAACATTGGTAAAGTATGACGGTGTGGTTTCATTCAGCTGATTCAGATCACCGTTTCCCAGAATTCCCTGTGTTTGTCTTTATTTACGACCCAATCGTCCTGAGTTTTATTGTATCATGATTCTACGGACAGGAAACAGAGGAAGTGATTTGTAGGTCTGGTACATGTTGATCATTCCCGGTCCTGTCAGGTCCACTAACACAGAAAACCCATGTAAGCATCATGTTAGCATCATGTTAGCATTATGTTAGCATCCTAAAACCTTCAATCCATTCATTCAATCTGCAGTCAAATACCTAGCAACACGGTCGCTACGCTAAGCTAGCCAACGACTGGTGAGAGTTCAAACAGGTGTATTTCTGGTCCGATAAACAGAAGGCGACGGTGGTCTCCGGGACGTCGCTGGTGATGGTGAAGGCGGCACAATCGGCCGGTTGGACCACCAGAGACACGCGTACACGTGTTGGTGTGGAGACACCTCCGAGGTCTTGGCAAACTCATTTTTAGTCCTGGAGAATCAGCAACCTCTGCTGACATGTGTCTCTGGTGGCCCCGCCCCCTTCATTAGGAGGTAGCGGCCTGTTTACGAAAAGTTTCGAAGAACGCTAGCATCCCCTTCCTCACGCTGCTGTTGCCGTTGCCCTTGGTTATCCGCGGCATCATCATGTTGCTGCTGCTGCTGCCATGGAGACGGGAGGCGAGAGGAGGGAAGGCATCCATGGAGTTGGCCCGTTTGACTTTTGATGGGGCTGCACGCCATGACTTGGACCTCGGGGGAGGAGTCTGAGCCACCAGACACTTCTGATACTGAACCTGACGGACAGGAAGGAACTGGAATCAGTGTTAAGTGTGCGTCGACCACCAGGGGGCAGAAGAACACCAGAGTCTATGGAACTGAATCTGTCCGTGTGCTGTAAGGTCCCCGTAAGGTATGAATGACCTGGAGTGTTTGCGTGCTGTAAGGTCACCGTAAGGTATGAATGACCTGGAGTGTTCGCGTGCTGTAAGGTCCCCGTAAGGTATGAATGACCTGGAGTGTTTGCGTGCTGTAAGGTCCCGTAAGGTATGAATGACCTGGAGTGTTCGCGTGTTGTAAGGTCACTGTAAGGTATGAATGACCTGGAGTGTTCGCGTGTTGTAAGGTCACCGTAAGGTATGAATGACCTGGAGTGTTTGCGTGCTGTAAGGTCACCGTAAGGTATGAATGACCTGGAGTGTTTGCGTGCTGTAAGGTCACCGTAAGGTATGAATGACCTGGAGTGTCTGTGTGTTGTAAGGTCCCCGTAAGGTATGAATGACCTGGAGTGTTTGCGTGCTTTAAGGTCCCCGTAAGGTTTGAATGACCTGGAGTGTTTGCGTGCTGTAAGGTCACCGTAAGGTATGAATGACCTGGAGTGTTTGTGTGCTGTAAGGTCCCCGTAAGGTATGAATGACCTGGAGTGTTTGCGTGCTGTAAGGTCACCGTAAGGTATGAATGACCTGGAGTGTCTGTGTGTTGTAAGGTCCCCGTAAGGTATGAATGACCTGGAGTGTTTGCGTGCTTTAAGGTCCCCGTAAGGTTTGAATGACCTGGAGTGTTTGCGTGCTGTAAGGTCACCGTAAGGTATGAATGACCTGGAGTGTCTGTGTGCTGTAAGGTCCCCGTAAGGTTTGAATGACCTGGAGTGTTCACGTGCTGTAAGGTCACCATAAGGTATGAATGACCTGGAGTGTTTGCGTGCTGTAAGGTCCCTGTAAGGTATGAATGACCTGGAGTGTTCGCGTGCTTTAAGGTCCCCGTAAGGTTTGAATGACCTGGAGTGTTCGCGTGCTGTAAGGTCACCATAAGGTATGAATGACCTGGAGTGTTTGCGTGCTGTAAGGTCCCCGTAAGGTATGAATGACCTGGAGTGTTTGTGTGTTGTAAGGTCACCGTAAGATATGAATGACCTGGAGTGTTCGCGTGCTGTAAGGTATCAATGACGTGCAGTTGTTTTTTGTTTTAAGGTCTAAATCAGGATGTACCTGTTCAGGTGTGTACTCACCATACATGCGGCCTGGACGGCCTCAGACAGGATCCCTGCGTCCGGTTCACACCAGAAGACATGACATTCAAATTGTTGTGTGCCGCCATCAACAATCACAGCGAAGGTGTGGCTGTCGTGGCCGACGCCCAGAAAGGTGAGGAAACGTACCTGACACTCCCAGAGAGGCTCCTCCCCTTCCTGTCAAGAACCAATGAGAGAGAGGGTCAGCTGACCTGTCACCTAGTGGGTTAACAGATTATGTAGTGACGGCGGTACCTCTCCCCTCCACAGAGACAGGATGTTGTCAGTGACGTGGATCACCGCCGGCTCCCACTCGTCTCTGTCTGTGGAGTTCATGATGCTCTCTATCGCTCTGTTCAACACCTCCATACCTGCATCATAACCAGACTCCTGGTCACCACGGTAACCACCAGGTGTGTTTTATTACGTAATTAGCACCTAATTAGTCGGTACATAATAACATCACTTTTTACAGGATCATTATCAGTTTGTTTACACTGACTGAACCAATCACAGAGCTGGATGTTGTGTTCAGGCATGTTCAGGTGTGTTCAGGCATGTTCAGGTGTGTTCAGGTGTGTTTGTGTCTTACCCATCGCTCTGGACACTGGCAGGTTACCGATGTACTGGACCTCAAACTTTTGGACCTGCTGTCGCACGGCCTCCAGAAACTCCACTGAAACAACAACAAACTATCAGCAGACAGCCAATCAGAGACCAGCAGGTGACGTCAGAGAACAGGTGAGTCACCTTGTCTGGGCAGGTCTTCAGGTGAGATGCTCTCCATGGTCAGGGAGCGGGACGGCCGCATCAGCGTCTTTTCTGACATCATCTACGGAGAAATTAAACCATCACGTTCACCTGCAGAACAAAATTCCCTTTGTCTTTACTGCTAAGTAGCTAATGCTAGCATGCTAGCTAACATGCTAAGCTAAGATGCCAAGCTTCACACATGAGAGTATCACCTGTCGTTCAGGTGATGTTAACAACTGACCTTGGAGCACATCTCATGCAGCGCCGTGGCGATGGCTTTGGCCGGAGCGTTGCAGCGAAACACGTGACACTTCAGCACACAGCTGTCCTTATCACCCGCCACAAACGCAAAGTCCCTGAATGCACCACACACACACACACACACACATACATACAGTGTCATGATGTTGTGACCAATCAGCTGATGGACCGACAATCATGTGATCAGCAGGTGAATCAATAAATGACCCTGACATATATCGGAGGCTGTGAGGTGCAGCTTTATGTGAAGAGGTAAAGGTAGAGAGGTTTACCTGTCCCTGCCCAGGTGAAGGGGTGGGGGGCGGGGCGTGTTAAAGAAACAGAGAGAGTGACAGGGTTAGCGCAAACTGACAGGTAAACAAACTGAAAGGTGGGTTTGATTTTAACACCTGAGCATGCAGAAACAAACTGTGAGTGTGTGCTGTTAGCCTAGCTTAGCTTAATGACTGGAAGCAGGAGGCATTGTTAGCCTAGCTTAGTAGAAAAACTGAGAGCAGGAGGCAATGTTACCCTAGCCTAGCACAGAGACTAGAGGCAGGGGGAAGTGTTAGCCTAGCTTAACGTAAGGACTGGAAGCAGGGGGAAGTGTTAGCCTAGCTTAGCATAATAATTGGAAGCAGGAGGCAGTGTTAGCCTAGCTTAGCATAGAGACTGGAGGAAGAGAAAAGTGTTAGGCTGGCTTAGCATAATAATTGGAAGCAGGAGGCAGTGTTAGCCTAGCTTAACATAATTACTGGAGGAAGAAAAAAGTGTTAAGGTAAGCTTAGCATAATGAGTGGAAGCAGGAGGCACTGTTAGCCTAGCTAAGCATAGAGACTGGAAGCAGGGGGAAGTGTTAGCCTAGCTCTCTCGACCAGCTCTCCCCTGGTATATTTTTTTGGGTGGGACAGTGAAGGAATGACTCGCCTTACTGTGAATTATTCTGCCTCTGATATTCTTATATTAACTCTAACCAGTCTCATTCAACCTGGTTAACCAACAACGAGTGTTAGCCAATCGGAGGCAAAGGGCGGGTCACGCCTTCACCATCCTCAGAAGATAAAATCTGCCCACCTGTGTCTTATCTACATGTAGTTTATTTGAACAGGTGTAGAGATGTGACCTTGACTCCAATTGGCTCACCTGCCATTGTTGCAGCCCACCCCCCACACACGGATGTTGATGATTGGCTGACAGTGCAGAGGGGTGTGGTCTAAAGGGTCCAACAGGGTCAGAGTGTCTTTTTTCAGAACCAGCATCATCTCCCGACCCTGCAGACAGGCAGACAGACAGGCAGACAGACAGCATTATACCACCCTGCTGTGTAAAACATAAATGAAAACTGAACACAGTTCGGAGATATTTAGTTAGTTAGTTAGTTAGTTAGTTTAGTTTTATTTGAACATAATGTTAAAAACAGACAGTATAAAATTTACAAGATTAAAAAGGAAATGTGCCGGAGAGGTTAGAAGCCACAAAAGGCTTATCAAAGAACCTGCCCTCAATTAAATCATACAATAATGATAAGAAATAAACAAGAGAGATCAAAAAAAAAGAAAAAAAGGGGGAGAAGGAAAGCAGAAGCAGAAGAAAGAGGAGGAAATCAAGACAAAAGATGACAGGTAGCAAATAAAATGAACAAAATCAATATAAGATTACGTGTTTGACGATGAACAAACAACTAAGAATTAGTCAGACCAAAAACAAGGAGAATCCAAACAAGGAAAATAATAATAAATAAATAATTCCACATTAAAGTTGATTAATTAAATACTTTTTCATTTGATTTTTGAAGATTGCCAGTGAAGATGATGCTTTAAGAGATGGTGACAGGTTGTTCCAGAGAGATGGTCCTCTATAACTCAGTGAGAATTGAGAAAGGGAAGTCTGACAGAAAGGGTGATGGATGTCATTGGACTGTCTCGTGGAGGATGAGTGAATATCAGAAGAAAAAATGAAAAAATTTGAAAAACACTAGGTAAGTCCTGAGTTAAATGTTTGAATGTATACATAAATACACAAATCTGGTATTTGGTGCTCTGACACGTTCTCCCTGTGTCAGCGTGGGTTTCCTCCAGGTGCTCTGACACGTTCTCCCTGTGTCAGCGTGGGTTTCCTCCAGGTGCTCTGACACGTTCTCCCTGTGTCAGCGTGGGTTTCCTCCAGGTGCTCTGACACGTTCTCCCTGTGTCAGCGTGGGTTTCCTCCAGGTGCTCTGACATGTTCTCCCTGTGTCAGCGTGGGTTTCCTCCAGGTGCTCTGACATGTTCTCCCTGTGTCAGCGTGGGTTTCCTCCAGGTGCTCTGACATGTTCTCCCTGTGTCAGCGTGGGTTTCCTCCAGGTGCTCTGACATGTTCTCCCTGTGTCAGCGTGGGTTTCCTCCAGGTGCTCTGACATGTTCTCCCTGTGTCAGCGTGGGTTTCCTCCAGGTGCTCTGACATGTTCTCCCTGTGTCAGCGTGGGTTTCCTCCAGGTGCTCTGACCCCCAACAGGATAAGCGGTTACAGAAAATGAATGAGTCTGAACATTGAATATCTCTGTGCTGTATTTAACTGTATATGAGTCAGACAAGTTTACAAATCACTGTTTTCCTTAATGGTTTACAGAGTCCAGCTGATCCTGAGTCAGGGTCGTACATCTGAACAGGTTTAATCCACATTGTGGTTTACTTTCATATTCTGGGTCAGTTTGTGATTGAATCAGACAGACAGACGGACATAGACGGACAGGTGAAGGTTCAGCAGGTGTCTCACCTCCCCCCAGGCTCCCTGTCTGTCCCTCTGCTCGGGGCTGCTGCAGTGAGACAGCTGCTGGATGACGTTGCTGACAGCCAGACTGCTGCGACCGGGAGACAGGTCCTCCTCCTCCACCTCCAGCCAGCCCAGAGAGCGCACTGCAAAACACTGACAGACAGACACACAGGGAGAGGACAGACAGACACACAGGGAGAGGACAGACAGACACACAGGGAGAGGACAGACAGACACATAGGGAGAGGACAGACAGAGTCAGATGATGAGATTAAGTGGTCAGTGAGTCGTTGGGTGAAAAACAGGGAAACCAGGGCACAGACAGATGGATGGACAGAGAGAGAGAGAGAGAGAGATTAAGTCAGATTAATGAAAAGTGTGGTAGAGAGCGGTCGACACAGAGCAGGAGAGATTAGAGCAGATTAGAGCCGACTGACAGGAAATCAGCTTTCACTCTGGTTCATGTCAACACTGCTCCTGTCGGTCATGAAGTCATCATCAGCTTCCTGTGACATCACCATTAGGATAGTGTGAGTGAACGCAGCACAGGAATGAGGACGTTCATGAGAAGGTTCTGAATCTAAAACATACTTTAATGAAACAGAAAAACCAAATGTGTCTCACTGAGACAAGAAGAGACGTGTCGTATGATAATTGTTGTTGTTGTTGTTGTCATGTTACCTTGGTGTTGGGGTCGTGGTTAGTGAGATAATCTTCATGCCATGAAGACCTGAAAGAAATATTTCACATTTAGAAATTTATATTATCTGTGTGTGTGTGTGTGTGTGTGTGTGTGTGTCTGTGTGTTACCTGGGCTCAGGTGGTTTGCTGGTCTCTGTGGTGGAGCTCTGCTGTTCAGCCTCCTCCTGCTGAGACACAACACCACAGAAGAAGACAACACATCAGACAAACCTGCTCATCTGAACCAGGTTAAATTAAACTCATCAGATTAAATTAAACTAAATTAAAGTCAGCAGGTTAAATTAAACTCACCAGGTTAAATTAAACTAAATTAAACTCATCAGGTTAAATTAAACTAAATTAAAGTCAGCAGGTTGAATTAAACTCACCAGGTTAAATTAAACTAACCGGGTTAAATTAAAATCACCAGGTTAAATTAAACTAAATTACAATTACCAGGTTAAATTAAACTAAATTAAAGTCAGCAGGTTAAATTAAATTAACCAGGTTAAATTAAACTCAACAGGTTAAATTAAACTAAATTAAAGTCAGTAGGTTAAATTAAACTCACCAGGTTAAATTAAACTAACCGGGTTAAATTAATATCACCAGGTTAAATTAAACTAAATTAAACTCATCAGGTTAAATTAAACTCACCAGGTTAAATTAAACTAAATTAAAGTCAGCAGGTTAAATTAAACTAACCGGGTTAAATTAAAATCACCAGGTTAAATTAAACTCACCAGGTTGAATTAAACCAACCGGGTTAAATTAAACTCAGCCAGTTAAATTAAACTAAATTAAAGTCACCAGGTTAAATTAAACTCACCAGGTTAAATTAAACTGACCAGGTTAAATTAAACTAACCGGGTTAAATTAAAATCACCAGGTTAAATTAAGCTCACCAGGTTGAATTTAACCAACCGGGATAAATTAAACTCACCAGGTTAAATTAAACTAACCGGGTTAAATTAAAATCACCAGGTTAAATTAAACTAACCAGGTTGAATTAAACTCAGGAAGTTGAATTGAACTCAGCAGGTTAAATTAAACTCACAAGATTAAATTAAACTAACCAGGTTAAATTAAACTCAGCAGGTTAAATTAAACTAAATTAAAGTCAGCAGGTTAAATTAAACTCACCAGGTTAAATTAAACTCAGCAGGTTAAATTAAACTAAATTAAAGTCAGCAGGTTAAATTAAACTAAATTAAAGTCAGCAGGTTAAATTAAACTCACCAGGTTAAATTAAACTAACCGGGTTGAATTAAACTAACCAGGTTGAATTAAACTCACCGGGTTAAATTAAACTCAGCAGGTTAAATTAAACTAACCAGTTTAAATTAAACTATCCAGGTTAAATTAAACTAACCAGGTTCATTTTGACTAACTGAGTTAAGTTAAATTAAGCACAATAATTTGGGCTAACGAGGTTCATTTAAATTAACAAGGTTAAGTTGTATTTGTTAGACACTTTTGTTTTATTTTTAAAGATATTTTTTGGGGCTTTTTAGCCTTTAATGGACAGGACAGACAAGTGTGAAGTGGGAGAGAGAGAGGGAGAAACATGCAGCAAAGGGCCACAGGCTGGAGTCAAACCCGGGCCGCTGCGGCAACAGCCTTGTACATGGGGCGCCTGCTCTACCACTAAGCCACCGGTGCCCCGGACACTTTTAACTGGTTAAATTGAACTAACCACGTGAGTTAATGAGGTAGTAACCTGTGTTTCGAGCAGCTGTGGCGTCCCACTGAGGCGAGGGTGTTGCCACTGGGTGGCGCCGGTGGGAACGTGCCAGTAATAAGTTCCTGTAGAGTCTTTGATGGTTCTCCAGCCGGAGGGGAGGTCTGGGTCCAGCAGCAGGTTCTGGTCCGTCCAGATGTTGTCTGCACACATACACAGACACACACACACACACACACACACACACAGTATCAGAGCTACTGAAGCATGTATTTATCTGTAGTAAACATGTCTGTGTTGATGTGACGAGTCCAACAGGTTCTGATGGTGTTTAGGTTCACACACAGTCTGTGTGTGTGTGTGTGTGTGTGTGTATGTGTGTGTTGATCAGTGTGTATCAGTGTGTGTATCAGTGTGTATGAGTGTGTATCAGTGGACTCTACTGAGCTTCTGTTTCTACTGACTTCATTTATGTGTCCATCAGGGCCGATTGCTCTGAGACAACAAGGGAAGCTGAACTTCCCCTAAACTTTCATAGAAGAAATGGTCAAATATGCACTATTGAATTTACATTAAAATAAGAATTTATATTGCATTAAACGTGCACTAGGATGCATTTCATCATGACTATGATGTTCAAACGTCACCAGTTTTCAAACGCGACCTCCGTGTCATACATTCTCGTGTCAGCACGGTGGACGCGGAGCCTCCAAGCATTCCTATGAGACAGCGCTAAGTAGGTTCTTTTCATGCAGCAAAGCGAGACGGTCATTGGATAAATGCGACAAAATCGTCACTTCCAGGGAGGCTCAGCTTCCCTGGGACCTGATGGAGCAGTAGGCAGGAGAGGACACTCGGTGTCTGCATGATGATTGGAGGAATTGT